ATTGGTCAGGTATGCAGGTAGCAGTAGCCGTGGCAACCCTTAACTTAAGTTGAAGAGTAGGGGATTAGCCTTCCCAAAATGTGAAAGACATTACTTCACCTCATGCACACACAGAATTTCTCTGTGAACTACTCTTCTGGCCCTTTTGTCTAGTATAACACGTAAACACGATGCTTCTTGTTTTGTTGTTTCATACCCACTTCCAGACTTCTGTATTTTGCTTCTGGGAAAACAGCTCAAAAGCAAAGCCACATTGCTTAATCTGTGCCATACTTGGCCAGGGCAGGCCAGTATCCCCGACGTGACTCTGCTGCGAGCTTTCTCACGGTCTATGAAGAGAAAAAAGCCTGCCAAAGTTTGCTGTTTTCCCAAGGAGACTGCAATGAGGTTCGTGGTCACACTTGCGGGAACCCTAGACTATAAGATGATGTATCCAGCTGCTGGGTTAGAGGTTTTACTGCTGCAGATTCAGTCTGGGGTAGGGATGAGAGGAAAATGGATTCAGTTCACATTTAAAGGCAAATCTATCAAATTTGTGCTTAACGAAGCAATATGAGAACTGAAACACAGCCGTCCTTTGAAATTCAGACTTTCAATTTCAAATTTTGCAATGCATTTCTCCAGTGAACCAATGCTTGTATAAGGTAAAAGTGTGCATAAAAATGAAATAACATACAGAAATAGATTTTATTAGGAGAAATTGCTTCCAAAAATATGTACATTATTCAAAACTGCAGACGAAAACATATTTCTAGCAAAAATTCACACTAAAAAGCTGGCGAATCTTCTTAAGGATTTTTTAAAAATTGTGGATTGCTTCAGAAATGTGGAGACCTGAATTTAAGATTGGAAAAATAAGAAACAGAAGTATCTGAAATTGGTGGCTCGATCCATCCCTAGTCCGGGATATTTTCTTCCCCCTTTTTGTTCAGCACTGTCTGAAGGGGTGGGGCAGCAAACCTTTTTAGACACTTAGAAACGCTGACTTTTTCTTCTTCAGCCCCAACACATTTAACCAGCTACCTTTCAGAATGGAATACTGAAGCTGTTGTCCAAATTTTACTTTGGCAGCCCACAGGGGAACATGAGCAAATTAGTTCCACCGTCAGAAGACTTCATTTATACCAAAGTCAGGATTTGCTGTCCTCAGCCTTCCTCTGACCCCAGCGCTTCCCTGTACTTTCCACGCAGGTGATCCAGCTTATTAAAGTACAACCAAACAGTCAGCCTCAAGGAAATGGACAGAGTCCTTTCTAAATACATTCAGGCTTTGGCCAAAGAAATCAGCAGTAAGAGCCACGGTTCTTCCTTTAGTCCCTTTCCATGGGAAGTATCTTTAGGCCTGGAAAAAGGGGGGGACGAGAATAATGCTGAGCTGCAGCCTCTGATTCCCAAACCAGGAAGATTCAAAATAAGGTGATTTGTATGCAAGATCTTGAAAGTGAAGCAGTGCTGGCCATTCTTAAACAGGAGTTTTGAGATTTGGTTGCTAGATTTCCCACTGCAGGTTATTATTATTAATATTTCACAATCATCCATTGTATGCTATCGGTGACATAATGAGAGATTAGCTACTGATGCTAACCCAAGAGAGAACCCTCATGTCCTTTTGCTGAAAGGTGTGCGCAACAAAAGATAAGGAACCAGTTATACTGGCATCTTATTTTAAATTAATACTAGCTGCCTTTAGGCATTTGGAGGTGCCTCAGTTTTCCTATGAAAATCTGGGTGCCAGAAGTGTTTATAATGGAGCATTTAAACATAGGTTGGCACAAATGACTTAAATGAGGGATAGAGAACCTGGGGTTCCCCACATATTGCTAGACTGCAGCCATCATCCCCGATGACTGACTGTGCTGGCTGGGGCTCATGGGGTCCAATAATACTTGAAGGGCCACAGCTTCTCTATCCTTGGCTTAAAAACATCAGCACAATAATACTTTTTTTTTTAAATATAGAAAAAATTATTTTTGGAAATCAGTATCATGTGAGATGCACACAAAAATAAACAAAGAATATTAAAAATCTAACCAAGAGATCAACTGTGTTATCAAATGGTAGAAAGAAGCAAGGGACGTGTATCTGTAATTATAGGGTACTAGATTTTTTTAAGCATCCATTTTTCAGAGCCATGTTTGGGACATCAAATGCAGGCCATCAACTCTCATCTGCTTCAGCTCTATTGATATTAGGAACCAAAGCGTCTCACAAGTAGGTCCATAGAAGGAAGCAGTTCTGGGGAACACCAGAAGGGAACTGAAATGCAGAGCAGCAGCAACCATGTTGAGATCAGTTGCAATTAAGGGTTGCACAGTGTTAAGTGAAGTTTGTTTGTTCCAGATTCTTATCACATCATTTTATAAAGTTTGCAGAGGCAAATATGCTAGTACATGTTCTCTGAGAGAACAAATGAAGCAGAATAAAGAAGTCTATTCCATTATTATAGCAACACATAGGACACAAGCTGGGTCAGCATATGAGAAGCTAGAGTCCTGGTTTTTTAAGGAGTAGGTCAGCAAAGGGTTTCATCACCCACAGTGATTTGGACCAAAAGTTAGCTACAAGCCTTCCCAGAAGTTTTATGAGAGGGGAATTGTGAAAAGCCCATCAGAGAAACTATGCTAATTTAAGAATTCCTTTGTTTCCCTGCAAATGAAGTGTACTTTGAACCAAGATGTTACATCGCTAGATGATTTTGAGCAGACTACCAAAAATTTCAGACTTCCAGTTGCATAACTTTAGAAGCAACACAACAAAAACTCATCCCCAGATACATTATGCTATTAGAAACCCTAGTCTGTGGTAACTCACACAGAGATTTGGCGCTGTGTGTGGTTTTATGCAGTTATCTTGGTGTATGCCTCATGGGGTGCAGTAAGTAACTGGCTCCTCCCCTCAAACCACCACTTTGCACTTGACTCCAGTTAGTGAGAAGAAGGGAGGTCCTAATGGAAGCATCTGCCCACAGCAACTTACCCTAAACTGTGGAGTGATCAGGTAGAACCAGAAAGGGCAGTGGCTGCTTGACACCCTCCATGGGATCGTTTGGCAGGAACAAAGAAATTTGTCGAATATTCACAATATTTTCTAGGCTGATTTCAGCAACGAATAGAAACTAGGGTGGGGATGAATGATCTTTTGCAGTGAAGAAGAGAAATATCTATAAGCTTAGATTGTGACCCCAAAGTAAACTTCTGGAATCCTGTTACAGCAAGCTAGACAAACTTTAGCAATCAGGCTAGTGGGTCACATTGCTTCCTCAGGACTATTGTGCAATGGTTAAAAAGTGCTTCTGGCATTCGAGGGGTAGGGTGATTGTGTCAAAAGGCTCTAAACATCTGTGGAGATCATTGGAATGGAAATCCCCCTGCATGGGCGGTATGCAGTGGCTTAGACACATAAATGGCTCCACGGAACTAGTGGCCTTGAGGCTGAGTTTTGCGTCACACCCCTTTTCCAAGGGGTGACATGTAGGACACAGGGGATATAATTAGGTGTCCCCATGGTTTGTGGTCACTTGCCATTTCTAATTGTCAGTTCTTATTTTTGGGCAAATTATAGGTTCCTCTCTAAGGAAAAAGAGCCAGTCTTTGTTGATACAATCCTTTTAATATATATATATATCCCAAAATTGCTTTTCACAAATTTTGATATCTTGAAAATGGCCCCTTCCTGTTTTCAGTAATACAGTGGTACCTCAGGTTACATCCGCTTCAAGTTACATACACTTCAGGTTACAGACTCCGCTACCCAGAAATAGTACCTCGGGTTAAGAACTTTGCTTCAGGATGAGAACAGAAATTGTGCTCTGGCGGCGCAGCAGCAGCAGGAGGCCCCATTAGCTAAAGTGGTGCTTCAGGTTAAGAACAGTTTCAGGTTAAGAATGGACCTCCGGAAAGAATTAAGTACTTAACCCGAAGTATATGATAGGTAAGAAATGGTTTCTGTGGCGAATACCTAAAAATAAGTGGAGGCATCATTAATTTTTAATGAATGGTGGTTAATTATAATTAGCAATCTAATTACAAGCGACCACCTGAAATTTGCTATAAAATTTGAGATTGAATGAATTTGTATTGAAAAGTAAGCCATTATTTTACAGGTGCATATTACGATCATCGGAAATAGGTGGAGTCATTTGTCCTTTTGTAATTGCTCGTGCTGTTTATTGCAGAAGCTAGAAAGAGATACTTGAGACAACACACACACACACACACCTATCAGGTGACTACAGCCTCGGTCCTGCTGGGACCATCCTTGGTCTTTAAGGCTACAATCCCAAGTCTGAGGACCAGAACCTGGCAATCCAAGATGGTTTGTACTCTGTGTTTGCAAAAACTCAAATATAGAGTTTAAAGTCAAGCTTTTTTAGAAAGTGAGCAAATTCAGTGATTTATATGACATTTGGATCTCTGTGTATGTGTATACCAAGAAAAAGTATATGTGCAGCTGTAAAATAACACTTTCCCCAGTTGTTGGTGAATTATGTTTTGTTACACATAATAATCCTCTACTTTTGTGAGTTATGGTAGACTGGACAGTGATATTTTTCTAGTTTTATACTAGTTGGGGAGACTTTTGTTTCCTTCCATTCTGGTAAGTCAAAATGGGACACACACATACACACACACACACACACACACACACCTTTTAAATTGAGATATATTGTGTCCATTTATATGAATTAGTGGTATATTGAATAGGATGCTTGTTTCAGCATTTTGCTCCAGAAAGTGCAGGATATTAGAAGTCCTTCACATCCTTCAGTGCTTTTCAGATCTCTGAGTATCCAAGAAGCAGCCCAGTACAGAAGCTCTTGATGAGTAAATTCAAAATGAATGCAGAACAAGGCATTCTTGGTATACGGTTCATGTTGTTCTCCAGCATCAGGATTTGCAATCCAAAGCTAGGTTCCTTCTGTACAAAGAGCTCAATTTCCTCCCTACCCCCAGTTGCAAGGGCACTCTGTAGGATAACCTGCCCTCCTTTTCTTCTTCCAGACTTGGGATCCGTTGATCTGGACCAGTTTGATGGGCAGACATTAGGTGAACTGCTCAGGCACTACCTTCAGGAGCTCCCTTGTCCCCGTGATTCACCCAGCAACTTACAGTGAATTACTTTACATAGTTCAAGGTAAATGCCTGCTATTTCCTTTCTACCATTTTAAAAGCTTCATGTTCCAGAGTTCTGTTGTGTCACACTTTTCAGGAAATAAAGGAAAAGCTGCCTGACTAGATACATCGGACTCAATCCTATTTTATTTTCAAAGGGGCTGCAGTTGGATAGTAGTGTTATAACATTATACGTTTCTCTCTTTAAATATTGCTGTGATAATTTGAATTAATGTGTGGAAGCCTGTTGTGCTCTTGTATGCATGGATCAGTGAGGGCTGTTGTGATTGAGGCAGCAGCACTCTAACTAGTGGTTTTTAGTCTCTGGCTGCAGTAAGGGTGTGGTTTGATGAAGGTGTTTTAATTTATTGATCACCTGCCTTTTAATGGATTATCTTATTAATTAATCAGTTGCATTTAAATAAAACCTGCATAAAACACAGTATAGGTATATTTTACTTAATGTAATGTAAGATAAATTACAATCTACTTGATGTAATACAGCATAAGATAATTTACAATCTAATAAACAAAAATCACCACTCATTGTTAAGAAGGAAATACAGTCTTAATGTTTTTAAACCCATAATTGCAATAAAACACCAAAACAAAAGTAACATAAAAAAATAAACCAAAGAGCTTTAGTTTTCAGAACCACTAGTTAAAGTTAGCTCCCACTGATCAATCAACTAAAGCTTGAGATGATTGATCTGCCAGTTAAAATGTGAAACTCTAATGCTGACTTGTATTAAAGTCACCCCATCCCAAGCCAACTGATAATGTGGATTTGGCAGATAAATCAAAATGAGATCTAGGCCTGTCCTGTACAGAGTTCATGCTGCTAATGAAATGAGATGGGGAGGGGCTTTAACAGATGCAGTAGTAGGAATGCTGTGTTTTTCTTGGGGGTGGGGGGGGCGGAATGAGGATTGAAGAAGAAGAGTTTGGATTTGATATCCCGCTTTATCACTACCCTAAGGAGTCTCAAAGTGGCTAACATTCTCCTTTCCCTTCCTCCCCCACAACAAACACTCTGTGAGGTGAGTGGGGCTGAGAGACTTCAGAGAAGTGTGACTGGCCCAAGGTCCCCCAGCAACTGCATGAGGAGGAGCAGGGAATCGAACCCGGTTCACCAGATTACGAGTCCAATGCTCTTAACCACTACACCACACTGGATTGCCCTTCCTTCCAGCACATAGCTTGGCTCAGTTCTTAAACAATTATAGCTCAGTGATAGAGCATCTGCATTGCAAGCTGCACGTCCAAAGCATCTCTAGGTAGGGTTGAAAGAGAGCCCTGCCTGGAGAGCCGCTGCCCCTCAATGCAGACAATACTGAGCTAGATGGTCTGGCTTGGTATAAGGCAGCTTCCTAGGTTTGTTCCTAGAATGTTTTGTTGTTCTGTTTATCAGGTTGCCTGGGTAGGTCCACCTCTCGTCTACTCATAGGGAAATATATTCTGAACAGCAAGGGTTAATGCATGAGATGTGGTTGTGGGTTAGTATATGGAGGAGCTTACCTTAAGGTCCAAACTAGTTGGGACATGCTATTACATATATCCTTCTTCCACCTTTGTAAAAGAAAAAGAAGCAGGGGGGAAACAAACTTGGGAAGTTGCAGGTTTAAGCAGAATAATGGCAGCAGAAGGAGGGCTGTTCCACCACTTCTCCTCCGGCCATTTCTCTGGTCAAACACCCAGTAAGGTATTTATTTTCCCCCTGCAGAAGAAAGTGCTGAGCTTTCCATTGTAGGAGGCAGTGCATAAATTCCCTTTATTTTCCTTCGCCACCAGAGAAAGCAGCATGTCCCAATGCACTGAACTCTATTGACAATTCTTTCTTTTAAAATGTGCCAAATAGCTCCCTTCAGGTGTGGATTAGATAACTTTTTGCGTGTGTTCTAAGAACAAAGGAGGTGGTCTTGGCAAGCTTTGACGGCTGATTTACCTATTATTTAGATTTGCACCACACTTTCCTGCCCTGATTCAGTTTCCATTTATTGCATCATCCCTGCCCTTTCAAAGAAATGAGATGGCAAAAGTAAAGTAACAAGGTGGAGGCTAGGCATGTCTCTCGTTCCAGTTCCATTCGAGTTTAATAGAATTCCTGTGCTACAAAGAACCAATAAAGGCAAAATCAATTTATTAAATGTAGCTCCCTTGCCTGAAGCTTCTGTGCTGGGTGTGCAGTTGTTGGCTTCAGACCAGTGTTGTGTTTTTTCAGCTTGCCTGTGTACATGGTGGGTGCTCCAACTTAGTGCATGAGCATGTTGATAAGTGGTGGTGGTGGTGGTAGTGACAGCCAACGGCCAGCTGAACATCAATGTTGTTGTGCTGGAGACAACCAGGAGTTTATAGCGTTGGGAGAAATTAAGAAGGAGACTGGAAACTGTAAAGAGCCCTGTCCAAATTCCAGTTCACATTCTTCCTATTCTTAGTAGTCCGGACACACCAGGAGACATGGTGCTGCTGCCTCAAGCACTGAAAAGGATATAAGCTCAGACCGTGTATGTTACTCCAGGCCAGAAGCCCAAGTGGCTGCCAAGTCCCTGTGATACTGGCCTAGAAAGAAAGTGTTATTGTAATTTTTTGGCTGAGCTGCCTGGTAGGGTTTTAACTGCAAACGAGTCCTTTTTTGGCTTTATATGGGCATAGAAAAATCTCTTAGTTCTTGTGGGGCGTTTTTTTATTCTCCTCCTCTTCCTCCTCCTCTTCTTCTCCTTGGCCCTATATATAAATAAGTTTCTGTGTTTAGATTTAGATTTTACTGGAATTATTTGTTGGAAGCATCAGGCCAAATACTTGAAACTGTGAAAGTTAAAAGAAGCAGAACTCAGAAGAGGAGACTTTGACTTTGCAGTGATCAGCAGAAGAATCTCAGCTACTTGATTCCAAAGCCCCTGTAAAATGCATGCGTTTTTAAAAGAATGCTATAAAATTAATAGCTAATAATAATGCTTAATGATACTTTCTATTACTGTAGACCAGTGTTTCCCAACCTTTTTTGGGCAAAGGCACACTTGTTTCATGAAAAAAATCTCGAGGCACACCACCATTAGAAAATGTTTAAAAAATTAACTCTGTGCCTATATTGACTACCGTATTTTTCGCCCTATAGGACGCACCGGCCCATAGGACGCACCTAGATTTTGGGGGGGAAATAAAGGGAAAAAAATTATTTTCCCCCCCCAGACGCGGGGCTGGGGCGGGAGAAGCCCGAGCTTCCCCCGCCCCCAGCCCCCAGAAAGGGTCCAAGAGCGATGGCAAAGGTGAGCGCACCTTCGCCATCACTCCCAGAGCTTGCGGGGCTGGAGGTGGGGGAAGCCAGAGCTTCCCCCACCCCCAGCCCCCAGAAAGGGTCCGAGAGCGATGGCGAAGGTGAGCGCACCTTTGCCATTGCTCCCGGAGCTTGCAGGAGCTGGGGGTGGTGGAAGCCCGAGCTTCTCCCGTCCCCAGCCCCCAGAGCAGGTCGGAGAGCGATGGCGAAGGTGAGCGCACCTTCCGCATCGCTCTGGGACCTTGCGCGGGCTGGGGGCGGGGGAAGCCGGAGCTTCTCCCGTCCCCAGCCCGCAGAGCAGGTCGGAGAGCGATGGCGAAGGTGAGCGCACCTTCCGCATCGCTCTGGGACCTTGCGCGGGCTGGGGGCGGGGGAAGCCGGAGCTTCTCCCGTCCCCAGCCCCCAGAGCAGGTCGGAGAGCGATGGCGAAGGTGAGCGCACCTTCCGCATCGCTCTGGGACCTTGCGCGGGCTGGGGGCGGGGGAAGCCGGAGCTTCTCCCGTCCCCAGCCCGCAGAGCAGGTCGGAGAGCGATGGCGAAGGTGAGCGCACCTTCCGCATCGCTCTGGGACCTTGCGCGGGCTGGGGGCGGGGGAAGCCGGAGCTTCTCCCGTCCCCAGCCCCCAGAGCAGGTCGGAGAGCGATGGCGAAGGTGAGCGCACCTTCCGCATCGCTCTGGGACCTTGCGCGGGCTGGGGGCGGGGGAAGCCGGAGCTTCTCCCGTCCCCAGCCCCCAGAGCAGGTCGGAGAGCGATGGCGAAGGTGAGCGCACCTTCCGCATCGCTCTGGGACCTTGCGCGGGCTGGGGGCGGGGGAAGCCGGAGCTTCTCCCGTCCCCAGCCCCCAGAGCAGGTCGGAGAGCGATGGCGAAGGTGAGCGCACCTTCCGCATCGCTCTGGGACCTTGCGCGGGCTGGGGGCGGGGGAAGCCGGAGCTTCTCCCGTCCCCAGCCCGCAGAGCAGGTCGGAGAGCGATGGCGAAGGTGAGCGCACCTTCCGCATCGCTCTGGGACCTTGCGCGGGCTGGGGGCGGGGGAAGCCGGAGCTTCTCCCGTCCCCAGCCCCCAGAGCAGGTCGGAGAGCGATGGCGAAGGTGAGCGCACCTTCCGCATCGCTCTGGGACCTTGCGCGGGCTGGGGGCGGGGGAAGCCGGAGCTTCTCCCGTCCCCAGCCCCCAGAGCAGGTCGGAGAGCGATGGCGAAGGTGAGCGCACCTTCCGCATCGCTCTGGGACCTTGCGCGGGCTGGGGGCGGGGGAAGCCGGAGCTTCTCCCGTCCCCAGCCCCCAGAGCAGGTCGGAGAGCGATGGCGAAGGTGAGCGCACCTTCCGCATCGCTCTGGGACCTTGCGCGGGCTGGGGGCGGGGGAAGCCGGAGCTTCTCCCGTCCCCAGCCCGCAGAGCAGGTCGGAGAGCGATGGCGAAGGTGAGCGCACCTTCCGCATCGCTCTGGGACCTTGCGCGGGCTGGGGGCGGGGGAAGCCGGAGCTTCTCCCGTCCCCAGCCCCCCGAACGGGTCGGAGAGCGATGGCGAAGGTGCTCGCAGCTTTGGCATCGCTCTGCGAGCTTGCGCGGCTGGGGGGATAGCTTCCTTAAGCCTGGAGAGCAAGAGGGGTCGGTGCGCACCGACCCCTCTCGCTCTCCAGGCTTCAGCGAAAGCCTGCATTCGCGGCGATGGGATGTGGGAGCTCGCTCGCTCGCTGCCCCGCGTGTGCTCGCCGCCGCCGCCCCGCCTCTCGCCGCCCGACTCGCC